CATAAGGAGGCAACAGTTGATGAGAAGGCTGTCTGACCTGCTGGCCCATCCTTCTCTGCTAGAGCATCGGCAGCCAAGATCTTCTTCCCTGCATCAGTCAGATTACTGGCCAGCTTTCTCTCCTGCCAAATCCGCAGCACCTAACAGTCATGAGGAGTTGTTGACATTTGAGTGGTCTTTTGAAGGAATGAATATGACATTCACAATATCAGTGTGTCCTTGGTGCTGAAAGACTATCACAACTTAATTGCTGTTTCTAGAACGGCGTAATCTACACAGCTAGGTTGCTGTCCCTGGTGCTGAATGGCATTCTCACCAGGGACAGCATGCTGCTGCTTTGTGACTTTGCAGCTGTGCCATTGTCTACGACACTAAAATTACATTGATGCATACTATTAGGTCTTTGAAGTACATTCAATGTGAGATTTTATTGCATACTTTATCATTTGTAATGGAGATGACCTCAATGTTATTTAAGCTACATCTTTTCTTAAAATAGTATCATCTTTGGTATTTTTGAAATCATGCTTTGTAACACATGTATGTCTCTGTCCTTGGTGCTGAAGTTACCGTTATCTAAGTTGAGCTGTAAATTTTACCTTTCCCATGTAGAAGGTTATACAGGCAGTCATGTGGTGCAGGCTGTCAGAGATGGTAGCATGCCTCCTCTGTCTCAGACCTGCTGGGATCTCCTGTAGCACAGCATGGCACCTCATCAGCACCTGTGGGGTTTGTACAAGAACGGATGCAGCATGAGTATGATATGTACTGTTATTGATCTAAATCTGGTAACTTTGACAAAAGGGTTAATTGTTTGAACCATGTCTTTTAAAGAAATTTTGACTAAAAAATTGTTAATCTGGAATTTTTATGGCAAAGTTAACTACCTGCAGATTTCATAACATAGAATTTGATTAGATTATGTTACTATTCAGACTGCTTACACAAGTTTGTATGCTTTGCTAACCTACCTGTACTACTGGCTGGGAAGGTATCTTGTTGAACAGTAGAGGGGTGAGGAGTCCGTAACACTGCACCACAGCCTGCAGAGCCAGACCGGCCTCGTTCAGATAGCCTGCCAGCTCCAGGGCCACCAGCAGGCGCTCACACTCATACAGCCTGAAGCACTGGGGGAAGAGAACAATCCTATCACTAATAACATCACATAAAGATACTGACATGGAATGACAATCACGATGAATGCTTGAATGTGTAAGACTGTAAAGGATGCAATACTTGAGTTCAACAGAGTTTGGTAAATGAATGAATGTTGATCGTATTTTACAGAATTTAATATGTTACTGTACACTGCTGTTTCTCCTTACCTGTCCCTTAGTAAGCGGCCCTTTGTCACACAGTGTGTCACAGAACAGTCTGCCCTCTCGAGAGTTGATGTCCACATGGATGAAGATACTGGTGAGGAAGTGTCTCAGCAGCACAGGGGAGGCCACTCTCACTACACCAGGGTGGAGCCTGTTATAGAGTATAGGACAGGTGTGCTTTATGAAGAAAAGTGAAATAAAAATGCACTCTCTATCTATCATTTCCGTATTCCCTGCTGTTATATCATGACATTCTGTCATTTTCTACTTTATCATAAATACACATCGACTACCATAATGGTATAAAGACAGGTCTGTTAGCCATTCATTCAAAATACAGACCATTAAGAAGTGCTAAATGCTTCAACTCACTTCTTTAAAGTCAGCTTGAAGTCTTTCCTGGCCACCATCTCCCATTTGCTTGTCTCAGGAGAAGGTGCAGGTGCCACAAAGTGATCCCACAGAACATTGCAGGCCTTCTTAGCAATGGGGTAACACTCAACTTGATATGACACCTGAAACGAGATGTGACCTTGTTAAGGTACATGTACACAAGTACTGTGTCCACCAAAACATGGTCCAGTGATTACTTCCAGTTATTGTCTTAAGAAGTCGTCAGGAAGTTCCTGCACAAACTGAAACCAGACAAAGCCACCGGTCCCGATGAAGTACCCACAAGAGTACTGAAGGAGTGCTGTGCTGAGTTAGCCATCCCCCTAAGTCGTCTTTTTAGTCTTTGCTTCAATAACGGTGTGTTTCCAAGCCAGTGGAAATGTGCCTCTGTCATTCCAGTTCACAAGAGAGACTCAAAGTCCAACCCGTCTATGTACCGTCCCATCTCCCTTCTGAGCAACATCAGCAAAGTTATGGAAGCTGTGGTGCAGACAGAGCTTCAGAAGTATCTGTTGCAGAACAGCCTTATCTCAGATCGGCAGTTTGGATTTAGACCACATCACAGCACTGCCGACATCCTTACCATTCTTTCCCAGCATTGGTCCAATGCACTGGATAATGGCTATGAAGTGTGTCTCATAGCCCTGGACATCAAGGGGGCTTTTGACAAAGTATGGCACAACGGACTTTGTTCAAAACTCAGAAGCAAGGGAGTGTGCGGCAAGCTGCTGACGTGGATTGAGAGTTATCTCTCTGACTGTTCAATCAAAGTGGTCCTTTCCGGCCAGTCCTCAACCACGACATCCATCAATGCATCTGTCTCTCAGGGTTCAATTCTGGGACCCCTGCTGTTCTCAGTCTTTATAGATGATGTGGGAGACGGGTGTGAGAGCCCTCCATATCTATATGCAGATGACTCCACACTCTACTATGTAGTCAGAACAAACGACGACAGAGCCTCAGCAGCGGTGAGCCTAAACAGGGACCTGGAAAGAATGAGGATCTGGGCTGAGAAATGGAAAGTTACAATTGAACCAACCAAGTGCAAAACAATGACAATCTCTAGAAAAAGATCTCGAGCAAGGTCAGATCTTTTCTTTGGAAACACCAAACTGGCTGAGAAAGACGAACTGGAAATCTTGGGAGTCACTATTGACAACAAGCTCAGCTGGACAAAACTCACCTTAAACACTGCAGCTAGAGCTGGTCAGAAACTTGGAGCTATGAGGCGAGTTGCCCACAAGCTCACTCCCAGTGGAAGAGCTGCAGTGTACAAGGCACAGGCACGCAGTGTTATGGAGTATGCCTCACTGTGCTGGATGAGTGCACCTGCCACCTCGTTGGGTCTCCTAGATTCTGTTCAAAGGAGGGCACTTAAAATCATAGGAACAAACGAACAAGAAGCTAGGTTGACACTGAACATCCCATCTCTTCAGCACCGTCGCCAAGTGGCTGCTGCGGCACTCTTGTACAAAATGCACACCGACACATGCCCAGCAGGCCTGAAGACAATGCTCACCAAGCCGTACACCTTCAGACGCACAACCAGAACTAGTCTTGCTATGCCAACCCACGCACTTGCACAACCAGTATCTAGAACCAGCTCCACGGGCCGGACCTTCATCCACACTGGTGTTCAGATCTGGAACCAACTCCCAGACACCATTGTGGGTAACATCTACAACAACGGACTGCAGTCCTTTAAAGTCAGAGTACATCGACACCTCCTTCATTGCAATTGAGAACTTGGCAGCTGTGAGCCACTGATTGCCCACTGATTGAGCCATTGTACAATCAGTGGGTATTGCTCACTACAGCACATTATTATATATATAAAAAAAAGAAACAGTTTGACACATCTGTAATTCTTCACAATAAATCTTTCTAGCTGTTCTATGTCTACCAGACCTTCCAATACACATATCTAGTTTCAAGACTGATGCTGTTCACACATATTGTACATACCTGTCCCAGCAGAGCCCAGACCATCAGGATGGGAAGAGGATGAGAGGCCAGGATGGGTTTGGTCTGTTCCCCGATGGATCCACCAATCAGCTTGCCATCCTTGGAGTAGGCAGCCACAGCAAACATGTACCTCTCATTGGGCTCCAGGCCAGACACTGTCAGGATACAGTCACCATTCTGAGCTGGCACCTGCAGGTAGAGGAGAGGCAGACATTTCATAAATGTGGAAGCAGATTTTAGCATACCAGACAGTGAGTACAATGTCTTTACTAACAATGTGCTCTCGGCCACCCCTAATATTTCCCCTTACTAAAGGCTAAGATAATATAATTGTCTTAAATCAAAGGCACATGGTGACTTGCAGCTGTTTACTTTATGTGCATGTATATTAAAGATTTATCATTAAATAATCACACTATCTCTCAGGGACGGACTTCGATGTTATTACCTCCTCTCCAGATCCGACCAGGAAGTAGTCATTTAGCCTGACCCTGACATTGCTGCCGCTGGACCTGCAGCCAAACAGTCTGTACCAGGCAACCTGGAACATAGGAGTCAATGTGAGTGAATATATGCAGTACAGATTCATTTAGAACCTGGGCCAGACATATTCCAGGCTTGGAAAATCCAAGAGCAAATGAGACTAGAATCAATAAGTACATTATAAATTACAGTAATTATCTTCAAGTTTATTTAAAACTTTTGTCTAACCGGTTTTGTAGAGGTGAACTCTGCTGGTTTGAAGATCATGGTTGTGTCAGTCCTGGACAGGAGGATGGGAGGGGGAGGGGATGGTGCTCTCCTTTTTAGCACTCATCTGACCAAGGGCATTCTGGGTATACAGCCTACACTCCTCTTGTTGGCATTTTATGATGGCAGCCTGAGCATCCTGTAATACGGATAGTGTTGTTGAGAAGTTTGAGAAGAATTGCAGAAAGACAAATTACAGCAGTTTTAACTGTAAACCAGTATTCATTAAGCCTAAAACTTTCTGTGAGAACCTTAAAACAAACCTTCCTTATGAAGGCCTTTTACAGTGTAAGCACTGTCCTTGGTGCTGAAGAAGTTTCACATCAACTTGCACAAATTGTGAATCCCTCCCAGCTTATCAAAGTTTCATTCCTTACCTCCAAGAGCCGGTACTGCTCCTGTTTGGACCCTCCCTTGTTGTGAAGGAACAGAGCCTTCTGCACGTACAACAATGCTTTGGACAACAGGCTCTTGTTACTGGCTTTGAGAAGGTCCTGCTCAAGATCCTTGGGTACTGGTGCATATGAACTCCTGACCTGGGAAACATCCTGGCCTGTACATGGTCGCTGGAACTTGGGCGGTATCAGTGTAGCTGGGTCTGGAGGGAACGCAGAAAATGATATGTAAAATGCTTTTAAAAGTTTTAATACAATACAATACAATAATGTTACATATTTAACATGGTTATTCAAGAGGATGTGGGTCTTGAATCTTGCTCACTGATTTTGAAAAAAAGACCATTGCAACATATCAGTAACAGTAGTAGGCTGTTTTAATGCCAACAGCGCTAGATGTTAAAATGATCTCAAATAGCAACATTAAGTAAAACAGCTTAATCACCAAATTAAATAAAACTTTAATACCCCCCAAAAAACTAAAGATGCCATGCATACCTGGTCCCAGAGCAGCTAACTTCAGCCCCACCCTGTGTGCCACAAAGATGAGTTCCAGGTGCAGGTCCATGACCTGGTTCTTCAGAGCGATGGCCTTGGGGAGACTTTTCTCTTTCTCCTCCTCCGCTGTCTCATCCACACTTTCATCTCCAGTATCAGGGAGGCCATGCACTCCTGATAATTTCTGCAGAACATTTGCAAAACACTTGTTAAGTCTCGGGTAATTCCAATCAGTATCCAAAGTAAGAGCAGGGCAGAAGACTGATTTAATCTCTTCAAATCAAGGTTTCTGACCTGTTCCCAGCTGATGTCAGCAATAGACTGTCCGTCCGGCAGGGCCATGACAGTCCTGGCATGTGACACCCCCTGGATGGCCCTGTCCAGCACGTCCTGGGCTATGAGCAGCTGCTGGCGGGGTGTGCTGGTGGAGGACGGAGGTGGTGTACAGGCTGGCCCTGCTCTGGGTGAAGGCCTCTGTGTCAGGTCTGCCTGGACTGACTGAGACCTTGGAGGTGTCCTCAACAACACCAAGAGAATCTACAGATGACACACAGTGAAATAAATGTGTATTTGGCTTAATGTTAGATGGAAATGCTGTTTGTAATTTCAACCCACAAAATTGGACACAAGTTGCTGATGATAACACTGACCTGTTTTGTGGGTCTGAGAAGTCACCAAAATGATCCTTTCTTCATTGTCATCTTGGGGCAGATCCTTTTGCTTAGTGGCCTGGGAGGCAGCCTTCTCTCTCACTGAAACAGTACAAAAAGTGTGTTTTTCTTGACTAAAATGCTTCAGAAATCATAAGGGTCAACATAATTTTGATAAAGGCATAGATTTAACATGAAAGACATGAAAACAGTTCCACATCATTTTGCTGACCTGCTGCCTTCCTATGTGCACTCCAGTCCGTGACAGTTGCTGTCTCCAGCAGCAGTGCCAGCCGGAGAGCCACCTCTGCTGTCAGGGACGGGTCAGCCACACCCACACCACACCAGTTCAACATCTCATGGATGATAGACAGCACATGGACCCACTGCCATTGGAAACACGCAGAACAACAAAGTACATTTGTCCATCATGCATAAATCTGGCATACCATGGAACCTGGCAGCATTGACTAGCTATCACTTCACAGAGGATGTGTTGAGAAAGGTATGGTATTTTAAAAACTTGTTTATTAGGAATGAAACAAAACAGACCATATGATAATAACTTTCTGTCTAAATATCATAACAACTAATATTCTTAGCATGCAAAAGGAACTGGAAAACTTCCAACCTTTTCAGGATTATCAATCTTGAGAAGGAACTTGGAGTCCACTGAGCCAGTCTGGACCTTCTGGAAGACATTTCTACAGCGAGTCCACAGGAAGGACACTGCGTCCACCACCATGTCCTTATCTACCTGCTTAGACTGGAGACAGACAAACTTATCACAAAGGGTATCCCAAAGTCACATCAATGTTGTTTCCTTGCCATGTATTAAATATATGTACATGTGATGAACCTCTATCTGAAACACTGTCTGAAGTTGTATCCTTCAATGTTTTACCAAAAAATGTACAAAATAGAAAAAGTAATTCTTACATTGAAAGGTGTCAGAGTGTACGAGTACAGCACTTCTGCAAGATACACTATCTCATCACTGGATGCAAGGGATCTGATGGAACCTGAGCAAAGAAATAAAGAGGTATGCCATGAATACAGATGACATGTCAGAGCCATTTCCTAAACTTATTTAATGTCCAAGACGTACCTCTTACGATGCTTGAAAAACACTTTTGATACAGATGACTGTATGTGAAATGTCAACCTGACAGACTGGGCACACCTTGTGTTAATGGCAGCCCACCATCCATATCACTGTCATCATCCATGTGTGAAGCCTGTCTCCTGTGTTTCCTGTTACTGCTGAAGGGCTCCATGGCCAGCAGCAGCTCAAGGGCCTGCTCATCACCTTTGTACTGTGGGATGTTCTGCTTCTACAGACAGCAAAGCATTGGATTAGCCACTTAATGAAACTTTATGCAGGTAATGGTACACTATTTCTTATCATGAGGTCATCAATAATTCTACAGGAACATGATTCTCAAAATGAATGAAAAAGGTAAACCTTTAATGTAAGTCTCACTTATAATACCTAAGGTTATCATTCACTTAAAAACAGGTTTAAGTTAAGGTTATACACTTGTAAGTACGTACTCGGAGATGGTCTAGTGTGATGTCCACCAGTGCATCAAATGTTTCCCAGTGCTCATAGCTGTATGCCAGCTTCACAAACTTCACCACAGTGCTCAGGGGAATACCATCTGAACCTGAGGGACACAACAAACAAGGCTGCAATGATGAGTACTGTATGTCTTACCAATAACAATGACTCAAACAAGTCCATTTAATGTATATTATCATATAGCCGGACGGCGTGGACCAATCAGAGGCCCGGATACCCGTGCTGTTATTCCCGATAACAGCACATGTGGTGTTATGGCGGAATAACAGCACATGTCGTGTTATGGCTGATACCATTATGTTATAGGGTATAGGGGCATGCGACTCTTTCTGTAAACCTTTGTAGCATTTTTCTGTCCAATAAACTTTTTTGTTTAGCTTCATTTAAACTACAATTTGCATTAAATGAAATTATCCATATTTGTTTTAAAGCGTATAATATATTCGAATGTATTTTTATGTATGTATATATAGTAAAGCTGTTGTATTTCAAACAGGAATTGTGTTGATTGACAGTTTGGATAGGCTATATGATAATAATTTTAATGCACTGCCTTTTCCTCGTTGTATATGGTGTCATAACTGCATGGGCAGCTGCCATAACCACCTCATAAACCACCTCATTCGCTTCGCTCACACGGTGGTTTATTCGGTGGTTATGGCAGCTGCTCATGCAGTTATGACACCATATACAACTCGGGGCAGTGCATTAACCCTTTATTATAGAGCTAGCTAATTATGCGCATTAACACATTATTTACTGACATCCAGACAGTCCAGACTGTACGTACCTAAAGTGGCATAGGAAATCAATGGTCTCTCCTGAACCAGGCCACCTAGAACCTGGTGCTCTGCACTTCCATGGGGGCTGTGGTGACTGGACCCTCCTCCTCCTACAAGGGAAACAAAATTGATTTTAGTAGAGAATAGGTGTGTGACAAAATGATATGCTAGTTATTGTAATATCACTTCTTTGTAAATTTATCAAACAGTCACCTTGTGGGGACATGGTTTCACATAGTTTCACATGGTTTGAAATAAAGGCATTACAAATTTTATGTAAATACTGAATGAGAAGCTACTGACTCATCAGACATCAGACTTTAAATCTTACAGTTCCATGCATTTGGATACTTTTACAATGTGACTTACAACTACAGATATAAAATGCCCATTGCTACCTGCTATAATCTCCTGCCCAGCAAAGAACAGCTCTGCATACACATCCAATATCTCCACCTCGTTGTCAGCAGCAGACAATCCGGACTGCAGGATTCTCCTGTTGCTGTCAGACAGAGCCTCCAGGATGGCCAGGAACTGAGCTGAGGAACCCTCAAACATGTCCACCAGCAGCCTCTCTGTGGCTGTCCTGGGCCACGACAGCTGCAACAGGAAACATGCACATTACTGAGCACTTCAAGTAAAACTGACCAAAAAAAATGATGATTTTTGATGTTTTGTTATGCCCAGTAAAAACAAATATTACAGCAAGGTCATTTTAACCCTTACATTGTCGGGCTGATTAGAATTCTGTTTTTATGTTCAGTCAAGCTGTGACAGTGTGGGGGTTAACAAAATTAAGAATCTGAAACAAAAGAACTGTACACATGCAACCAATGCAGGCTCACCAATGCCCATCCACTAAAGCAATATGAATGTATTGAATAACCTCTGGGCATTCCCAAAACAACACAAGACCTTAACAAGTAACCAGTGATCAAATCATGTCTCCATGCATCCCCAAATCACGTAGAAGTTCAAGACAGTGACACATACAAGCACAACCTTAGTGTATTCCCAACATGCATGAATTGGATTAAGCATGCATATTAAGTGCTGATCAGAGGACCCAAGTGAACCAACCACTGAATAATTGTTGTAAAGTGAGTGTAGACTTACATGGTCTATTCCTTTCTGCACACAAGGTAGGAAGAGAAAGGTACAGTTAAAGCCATAAATCAAGAGATGACTAGGAAAAATCTACATCACTCTAATATAAACATAACAAAAGAAACAACATCTTGAATAATAATCCTTGCAGTTCATCAAAATATTGCCAACTACGTTATAATCAATTTTAGATAAACACATTTAGTAAAAGACAGCATCAGGAAGGACTCGTCTGTTCTACAACTTGATGACTAATCTGAATCATTCTGCAGTCCTGATGGTCCAGAGATGACTAGCTACTGATGAATCTACTAGCTACTGATCTCTATTAAAGAATCATTAATTATTATTGTTGATAATAATATCTGATACAATGTAAAGGCACAGAAAACCAACAGTGGACAGGAAGAGAAAACTTACTATGATAGGGAAACCTATCCTAACTTTGAATTATAGATGAAGTCATCAGATGTAATTATATGCATGCATTTGAAGGTTGTGGTAAAGACATTTTGCAGAATCTAATGTAATTCATATCCCTTATTATCAAGTCTGTTAAAACTTAATTTCATAATATCCATCCTTCATATTAAATTGATCTTACAAGAATACCTACATTTTGGACATCTTTTAGATTACTCCTTTGCTTTGGTCTAAGTAACCCTTTGGGCTTCCTCCTGCTCTCAAATACCACTCGCTTGAAGATCATGGTTGCCATCTGAAACAGACATAAACCATGCAGTAATTGACATTTTACCTTTTGTATAAACACGGTTTGTTAGTATAGCCTTTTAGTGAATGCTCAATATCGAGTAAGTATGCATGCATGCATCGTTCTCTTAAGATAAAGCTGTTTTATTTAAAGGAAACAAATCCAATATTTCATTCATGAATAACTTAAGACTTCATGTTGCTTTTATTCGTTCAGGTGGGATGTACTTGAGGTTAGTTCCCCACCTTCACAGTAGCCTGTCTGAAGGCTGCCTCTGTGGCTGCAGACTGGGGGGCCGAGCTCATGCTCTCCAGCTGACTCAACTCACTGATCTTCACCAGGCCACGACGGGCAAACGTCTGCAGGGACAAGAATCACATTATGAATTTTTACACAAGATCAGCATTTTTGACACAAACAAAGCTGGCAAACATCTCATTCCATAATGATACAAAAAACATGAGAGAAACAAATCCTTAAATGACCTTTTTTTACAAAAAAGTCTGACACCAAAAAAACATCCACAATCTATACCTCTGCATGGTATGAAGCTTTGCAGTCATAGTAGCACTGGCACACGGCACTGTACAGAGTAGTTCTCCAGGTCAGGTAGGATGTCCCCAGGAGGGGAATGGATGATTCCATACTGATGCTGGCCCACAGGAGATACTCCAGCACCTGCAGAGTACATGGATAGGTACTTACAATCTTCCTGATACTGATAATAAATAGCAATGCTGACATGAATACATGTACTTGCTATCTGTACTTGCTATCTGTACTTGCTATCTGGAACTTGCATTTCAAATTATTGAGCCAAGAAGTACACTATTGGCTGAATGAGCTGAGAATTGTGTAGTGATAATTTGCAGGTCTACCTGACACACTGATTCACATTCATTGAATGGGTGTTACCGGGTATTTGTTTTCATTTCAGATTTATTTGCAAGTGCAAAAAAAATCAAATTTATTTTCCAAGTATTGATCATGAGTAGTTCAGTACCTTGGCAGAGTGTCCAAGAGACATGAGGTGCCTTGAGATGCTATAGATATGGACTGTACCTACATGGAATAGAAATATTGTTATTCATAAACATATTATGTTAACAATTCAGTGTTGTCCAAAAAAGTTACAACAATATCAATAGATTGTAAAAAAAAGTTGTGGAATGGAAAGCAACCATATGCTTATAGTGTATGTGACTGACCAACCGTAATGACTGTCTTAGATATTAAAGATGCGATTTTACTCATTTCTGAGCAATACAGATCAACTTTCTTTTCTTCCCCCTGTACTGCAACCTTGTCGTGGTGGGGAGGCTTGAGAACCCCAATGACCCTGTGGGCTATACCGGCGGGGATCAACAGGCATTGAGCCTGGGCATTGGCTAAAGCTTGACTACCTGATGGCAAATATAATAGTCACATTAAAAGTGGAAATGGGCAAACTCATTCCTCCATAGTAGATATAATGTTGCTGTACCATTGTAGACGAGCCAGCAGAGTGGTTCCCTGGGGAGTACCACCTGTATGATGAGGCGCAGGAATGCCAGGATCTGCCCACACCTGTCCACTGACTCTGTGTTCTGTAACTTTGGGTCGGCATCAACTACAACCTGGTAGCTGCAGATGCTGCGGCCTTGCAGAGCCTGGAACTGCAGGTTGGAGCAAAACAAGATGTACAGATAAGAGGTGAACATGGCAACATTACAGTTGTATTTGTGACTATCTTGTTGTTAAAGAAAATTGATAATGTAGAAGACTAAGTTGACCAAATCTCTACAACAATAATGCAGATGCATATTTCTTGTATTGCAATAAAATTGTATTCTATCAACCTACAGTGAAACTTGCTGTGTCTGTCTCCAGCCCATCAGGAAAATACACCTCCTTGAATGTGTTAACATCTGTGATCTCTTCGATCGCTCTGGATCCAAAGCGTTGTAAGTATCGCCCATAGCACTGCCACAGAGCCAGATGGTATTTCTGAAATCATATAAATTGGCAAGAAAAACACAATGACTCTTTCTTTGATAATATGATGAACAGCTGTAAGAAACACATCGATATCAAATGATTCCTGCAGTACAGATACATGAGACAAGATCTTACCTTGACTTGCACCAGAAAGTCTCCCATTTCCAGCATCTTAGCATAGTAATAGTTCTTGGGCAGCCTGGGCTCAAACTTGTTCCAAAGATCAAATAAGATGTTTGACCTGCAAAATAAGATGGAAAGGGGTGTTGGTCACAAGTCTTGACAGGCCATACATTCAATAATACATACATACATACATACGCACGCACGCACACACGTACGTACGCACACAAACACACACACACACATTGTATTTATTTCTAGCTTGTGCCAATGGCACATTGCAATGCAAGCACACATATCTAAGACAGATATTTGTGATGACCTATGGATGTCAATGATCTATACGTGCCCGTATAAGCCCTGATCAATGTCATTTTACTTAATATAATGATACAACAAAAATTTATTTATATGGGATCATTCATTTTCTATTGCACCTACCCTCTCGAGCACGCTTCATTCTGTGCTTTCTTGTATCCTGGGGCGCTACATTTCTTCATATATCCCACGAATGACTCCACTTCTTGTTCGAACTTCTGTATGACGGGGTTATTCCCATCAATGCTGCCGTAGTACGACGCCGGGAGAGATGCCCCGGCAGATCGCACTGCGGCCGCCATTTTTTCTGTAAACGAACTGGTTGCGAAGGACACAGGTGTAAACATAGCACACGATTCGGTGCATTAACACATATACTAAGCCCCCGATTCAGTGACGTGATTCGCATGTATACCATATTTATCCCATCCCATGGGAACATTTTTATAACCCTTTGTAGACTCTTCGCTGACCATCATAGCAGGATTTCCTCTTTTGTCAATCTGGCAGGAATTAGCGAACACAATAAACGCCAAACCCAAAAGGAGGTAACATTTGTATGGCACTGTATTTTGTTACTGTCTTTCCCCGCCGAAAGATCTGCTTTGAGACATATATTTTGGTAGCGTGTCTGCGGCCATCCGATTACCCCCTGACACGAGTGATAACAATTTTCTGATAAATCCCAGCTGGTCGCTCAGACCAGGGACCCTTCGGCCACTCCTGGTCCCATTGTTAATCGACCATGTAATTAGTAAATAAACAATCTGCCAGGAGAGGTTTCCATAGGGATTTGAAAATGATGGAAGACATCCCATGGTCCAGGCCTGCTCTGGTCTCCCCAAAACTCATGCAAGCAAGAAGAAAACAACAGACTTTGCTTCTTTTTCCATTGTTGACTACTGCGGTGTATTACATGTAGAACATCATATCATGGCACAGGAAGGTGGTGAATTGATATTGGACATACATAAAGAATTATTATGACCCATTTTCAGATTTTTATTCAATCAGGGAGATTCAGTACATGCTTCTGTCCCTTTCCTGCAATGATACATGTGATAACAAATTTTTGCCTTCTGCAGACGATACCTTTTCTGACACTACATTGAAAACTTGAGACTGTCTATGCACAACGCATTACGGGTATCTTGCAGGTGCAGTACATTTGGTCCTGATATCAGTCCTCACCCTGTGTCATCTCATTCCTTCCACATCCATTCTATAACAAATCATTGTGACAGACAGATAGATTACCAATAAACCTCTGTACACTTATGAGAGGTGAGCATGTGCTTTATTTAGTGACAGGGACAATGATTCAAATATGAAACTGTCAGTGGGATTGGAACCGTCCCCATTGATGGCACTGACAACTTTTATTTCAGTTTACCTTTCTTACATAAAATTCAATCCATCCCAAATTCAGAAGTTTACATCATCATGCAGAGAAACGTACTGACAAAATTGGCTAATGAGAAGTGGAACTGATATGGTTTATTAATGAATAGTGAAAGGTTCCTACATGCACATTGTCGAATTAGTGTTATCTTCTCTCCACCTAACATATGTGACTTGGTCCATAAAATGTTGTCAAGATGTCAAACTAATCTGTACACATGCTAATCTCTTATGGGCGACATTGGCATACTTCCTTTGTTCTACATGTGCTAAATTAAGGAAAAAGAAATGGAAAGTACAATATAATATAAGAAAAGGCATTGTTACAAAGCATTAATATCATTCTATGACACATTTCTCGTCATGAGCATTTAATTTCTAGCGTCCTGTTACTTTTTCTTTTTTGAACATTGAGAACATTGCTATATCAAATACAGCTTTACAATCTATTTCTATTGGTGTAAGGAGAAAGTAGCCTGGGTACCATCCGGATTTTCGCTACGCAACGCTCGAAAAAATCACTTTTTTTTTCGAGCGTTGCGTAGCGAAAATCCAGATGGTACCCAGGCTAAGGAGAAAGTGCATGTACATGTACAAGATATCTTTTATATATCCATGTTGATTAGCAAATACATGTATCCACTTTGAGGTGTGGAGTATCATGGTGAATGAAAATAGTATGACATTAGAGAAGGTAAGAAAAAAACACCAATGAGTTACACAAGAGATTTCTTACAAGCATCCAATATCCTCTTTTGAAACAAACAAATAATTTACATCTGTGACAGTATTTCTAACATATTTGTTATAGTTCATCATTTGTCTCTTGTCTGCTGTGTGGGTCTTCTGACTGTTTTTCTTCTTTAGCTGAAAAAAAGAGAGATCAAAGAGGTCACCAATAAAAAATTAAGTTCCTGATCTATGTCTAACAAGAAATAAGATGTGCAAAAAGTGAAAGAAGAAACTGAATGAAAGTAAAAGCAGACGTAAGCCTACATTCAGTTGGTGCAGCCTCTAGTTGTAATTCTTCTGACTCATCCCCTTGTCTGTCCCCACCATCTGTTTCCCCATCTTGTGTTCCCCCACCTTCTGTGTCCCCACCTTCTGTACCATCACCATCCTCACTATCTGAGCCAGGACCATCACCCTCACCCTCATTAGATGACTCATCTACCAACAAAGAAAAAATGTGATAAAGATCAACAAAAAATTGAGTTTAGATGTGTCAGAATCTAAGAACAAAATAGTGATACCTGTAGCCCCTTACAGAGTTAGTACAGTATCCATAGGGGTTCTTATGATTGTTGCAAGTAGTCTGTTCTTCACTAACCTTTATCAGTATCAGGTGCTGCTTCCTGCGTCTCCACAGGTTCATTGGTGGGATCGGCTGAAATGGCAGACAGAGTACTGGTAAGATCCAATATCCACAATCACAGAAAAAACAATACTTTTTATACATTGACATAGGCTAAACACCAGTCAAACATTCAACAATAAATATCTCTAGACATGAACAATTTTAGAAGCTTTGTGATGGTGTGTATTATAGACAAGACAAGGAATGTCAGTTCCTTATTTACATGTATATTCCTTTGTTTTAACTAAATAGCTTTGGAATACAATGTGGTTAATCAATTTCTAAGACTTCAGGTTGCTTACCATCTCCTGCTTTATCTTTGACGGTGTCTTCTGATGTGACAGTGTCATTCTCTGCCTTCAGGTTTTCATCCTTGGTTTTATTGCCACTTGCAGTCTCATTACTGGCAGTTTTGTTGGCAGATTTCTCTGGCTTCTTGACAGGTGGCCTGTAGTTCTTAAGCTTATTCAGCAGGTAAGCGACTTCCCGCTGCAGATCCTTGTCTTTTTCTTCCACCTCTTTTGAGGTGAACACAGCTTCCTCGTGACAAGCTTTTCCTTTTTGCTGTTTTACCATGCTGCTCTTCCAGGCCTGTTGACATGATAAGAAAAAGCATAAAAGTAAATTTGACCAAACAGTGTTGAGAACAGCTTAAATTGCCCGATGTAACAAAATGCACCTTAAAAGTAATCCACAAGTAGTACTTGCAGCTGGCTGGTAGAATAAATATAGAAGACTTACTTTTGTGTCATTAATCAGAGTTGCCAGTGTATCCTTTTCCACTTGTGTGAAGGCATCTTCAGAGATGTTTTGCAGTGTCTTCAAGAAGACGGTTGAGTGGTTAAGAGTGTCTTTCAGACCTGCTAGGGCTTTAGGCCGGTTTCTGTTTTCCTTCACACGGTCATTGACTGGTTTGCAAAGCTTCTTCAGCTCTTGCAGTTTTTCCTTAAAAACCTGGTGAAATACGACATGACAGATGTTTTGATTAACAACAGGTTCTGCACAAACTGTTAAGGACAACAGGTGTACATAATAATCTGTGATGATGGAAGAAAACCACTAGTATGCTGTTACATGTATCTAGGATGTCTTACCGCAGGTGTTGCACTTTCACTTTCATCCTCGTACAGCCAATCAGACATCTCACTCAATCTCGCCCTAATTTGGTCCCTCTCTTCTTCTACAGCACAGGCTTCATACTCCTCCTGGTACAGCTTGTCCTGCATGTCTACAATATAGGACTCCAGGGTGTTCAGGGCCTTTGCCTTCAGTGCTCTTGCAAGGTCTCTTTCCATGAGGACCTTCAATCTGAAATGACAAATTTGTTGAGAAAAATCAGAAATAAAAATTTTGTTCTTGGCTTCGAAAAAGCAGGTAAGAGGCCAAGTATGAAAGTAGTAAAAAAACACTACATGTAGATCTTACTTCTCAACAGAGGCTTCTAAACTTGCTGTTGATGGGTCGTTCAAGTCAAGAACTGTTGTTGTCACTCCAATATCTTCTTTTACAGTGGATGCCTTGGCTACCTTCTTCTCTGGCTCTTTCTTGGTGGCATTTTTGGCTGCTTCTCCTTCCTCTGTTGCATTCTTGGGCTGTGTCTCTTTCTTTTCTTCCTCCTTACTACTGTCTAGTGGAGATTCTTCTGATGGCTGTTCAGAATCTGAATCTGATGAGTCCTGTGTCTGGATGGTAAAAAGATAAAACTAGATTTTCAGGGAAATACCAAAGACCTTTGCTTGAAACATCTGCTAAGTTAAGTTACTACCGGTACCACTATAATGTTGACATCTTGAATTCAGGGTCCCTTGCAAGAGATTTTTTAGGACTAAATTTTTCATAACAAAAAAAGCTGTTAAATGAAAAAGAATCATGCATTGACGACATATACAGCAGAGTTATTTCAATATGTCCACCTTACCTTTTCAGTCTTTTGCTCCTCCTCAGTTGATGGTTCCTGTTGCTTCTCCTCTTTGTCACCAGTCTTGTCCTCCCCTGGAGGGCTTTCCTCTGGTTTCTCTTCAGGCTTCTCCTCTGCTTCTTTCTCTGGGGTCTATTGATTAAAACAATGATCAAAAGACTGTGTCAAACATTTAGCAAATGAGCAAAGATACTGCAACTGGTAAATCTAATGCTGTACATACCAGTATTGAATTGGACTGTGTTGAATAATCATAAATTTTTCAATCATCTGTAGACATACCTGATCAGGGGTTCCTTCAGGTGCCTCCTGTCCATCTGTCTCCTCACCTGTACCAACTTCCCCATCTTCCTTCTGCTCAGATCCACCAGTGAAGAAGTTACTGATGGTACTACCCAACTCTGCAAGATGAGAAGATGTTTAGCCCTTGATCATGAGAAACTAAACACCTACAAAATACACCTGTCTTGCTAGCATTGACAATACTGATACCTTGCAGATACTTGCATCATGTGACAACTAAAACTAGTAAAAGCCTACACCTTCCTTACATGTGTGTGTGTGGTATCAGAGACCAGCAACTAGATCTCTGCAAAAAATTACATCTAAATATCACTACTCAAATGAAGGTGCTACCAGGGAATCTGAAGACGATGTACTTACTAGCCAGAGTAGACTCCTCTGCATCCTCACTGCCCTCAGCTCCCTCTTCCTGCTTTTCGAAGACACTCTCCACCTAAACACACACATTACAGAATATTAGAGTAACAATCTCTGGATATGTCACTACTTGTAATTTACAGTGATTTACTCTACTCTCTTGGCTGTTGGCATCATGACAAACATACTTTAATGGGAATTAGAAGAGGTACAAATGTATTTCAAAGCAAGCTCACCTTGTCTAAGTTAAGGATACCGCTTTCATCCATCCGGAAGTGTGCCTTCACACCTTTGAACTCTGTGTTAGGTTCTTCTGCATGCTTTTCTAGTGCCGCTCCAACCCCAGCCAACTTAATGGTTGTTAGATTCATAGACGGAAATGTTCTATCAACAGAAAAAATAAAGGTTATTGACATCAAAAAGTATTATTGATAGTGAAGTATTCTTTACAATAACTACTTGATGAATCCTAGGATTTTGCTGAGTTGATTAATTTCAAGATTTTGTCCACAAAACTGAACCATCAAATGACACATGAACGTATACGTACTTGATCTCTTCCTCAGGTAAGAAGCTGAGGTCACCATAGTTGACATGGAACTCAAAGTCTGTCGTGTGTTTGTTGAAGGTCATGACCTTCTTCTGTGGGAAAGGGTTCATCCTGTTGAAGAGTGTCCTACGTACAACCTTGACCCCTTCACTGCCATCCTCATTTTTGATTGGACGGGAGAAATCCACCTAACGAAAAAGGGAAAAGGCAAACATGAAATATTATATTTGACACATAATGAACAGTAGCCTCATAAAAGTGAAGCTTTTAATTTGAACAAATGTATCCTTACCACTGTTGACAGTGTTACAATGGCAGTGATGATGTTGCAAATAAGTATTCACCTCAATGGGATAAAGAGCTGCATCTTTGATGACAAACTTCTTGACTCTGTAGGCCTTGCTGAGGTAAGCTGCTTGATAAACAGCACCTGTATGTGAAAAATAAAAGCAGATTAATTAATTAAACAAAGTGTATTCAAGGCTAAATGAAGTACAATCATTAGGAAAGTTGAAGTTGTCCAAACCTTTTTGTACAAGCACATGGATTCTAGCCATATGCATGGTTTGTAATTGTAACATTATATACATTACTTGGAAATAGCAGACTGAGGAAAATCAAATTACAGTACAAAGCACTTACCCATGGCTGCCGCCTCATCAGCATTCACACTCTTGCCAAGCTCAGATCTGAAACAAACCAAAATTTACTTTAATCAGGACTGATATATTGTAAGATTAATATGTTATAAAATAATACTCGTACATGTAAATTTGCAACACTGCTTTTATAACTTCATTATAAACAATTGTCCTTCCTTTTCAGTCATCACTAATATGGATCAATATTTCTGATAGCTGCACTTACTTTTTGACAGCCTTCAGAAGTGCCTCTTGTACTTTGGGAACACGAGTGCCTCCTCCAAATATGATCACCTGATCAATCTCGCCCTGTAAAGGGAACAGAAGCAGCCAATTGAGTTCCTTTCTTTGAATGAATTTATCCACCATCTTGCGCAGTTTCACAAAGGTGCATGGCAAGAATACTCAAAATGAGAACACTACAACATCCTCTTCACTTTAGACCCTATGCATTCGAAATGCTCTTGGCAATGAATTTACCATTGTCATGTCTGCAGACTTCAGGGCCATTCTCACAGGTCCAGCCACGCGGTCAAACAAATCAGCACACATCTCTTCCAACTCTACTCTGGTCACCTTTGTCCTGAAGTCAATGTCTTCATGTACCCCTTCAATCTGAAAGGGAGAACAGGCTTAATTCAACACTGTCCATTCACAAAACTCTACAAAAAAGAACAATCATTTTGAACATGGAGTATCAGCACAGTTGCTGACATATAGAATGACTAACCTGGGCCTGATGATCTGAATTTGCACTAAGAACTTTCTTGACCCGTTTGGCTTCCTTCAGCATCTTGGCCATTGCCCGTGGTGACTTCCTGATATCAACACTAGCCTTCTTCTCTTTGGAGAACACATCTGCCAGATGGTCTCGCAGACGCAACTCCATTTCAAGGCCACCGAGGTAGCGGTCGTGGCTGTGAGAGGAGAGTAAATTGTTATTCATTTCTTGTTAAAATGTAGCTAATACATTTTTGCAGTATTTGCAACAATTATGGGGAACAATAGAGCAAACAATATGTCTCCATCAGATATTGTCATAGCATGTATTCTTTGCCATGTTAGTAGTTATGAATAAGAAATGCTACATAAAAGCCAACGTAAAGCCACATACCCAACTCCCTTAATGACCAGTTGAGGATGTGTGTCAGTGATGCCTTTCTCCTTGGTCTTGACCACTTGGTAGCCTGTGAAATGTAGACATACATGTATATCATAACTTTAAGTGTTTCAATGTTTTACAAATGGTACAACAAATTCAGTAAACCCTAAAGACAACTGGGGTCGAATTTTCTTTTTACTGCCAAATATGCAGGAGCATCAAATTCAATAGATACCAGGTACAAAATACCTTATTGAAAATCCTTTGACAACAGGATATAAAGGTCCACTTACCAACTATAGTGGCTGTAGTTCCAGTGGCACCCATGTCATAGAACATGATGTGCTGAATGAGATCAGACAATTCAACAAGATTCAGTATTGTCAGAAATTCAGAAATATGAATAGCAGAAAAATGATAAGCAGGAACATCAATAATAACTAGTCACTGTAATTTTGCTGAAGTATATAAGGAAAAATATCAGTCACCTGCATGGTAGCATTAAACTCTTTTCTTCTGAACACACCATAGTGCAGTGCCACTGGGAAAGCAAAGAAAGATTAAAAGTATTAAAGAATTATTCCAAAATTGTACATGTCAGTCAGACAGCAAGTAAACAATGTCTAATAGGTTGTAACTACGTAAAATTTATCAGGTTAAAAAAACTGAGTTAAAACCAGTTAAGGAATGCTGGCCTGTTTCCGTTAGTTTACCTGCAGAGTTGTCATTCATCAGCTGGAGCACAGTGAGATCCACAAGTTCAGCTGCTCGCATCACAGCACGCCTTTCTGCCTGGTTGAAGTATGCTGGGACGGTGATCACAATATGGCGGATCGGCTCCTCTGTAATGTAACATTGCAGGGAACTTGTGACAAAGGAAACAGAATTTTCAACAATGTTGTGTTGGGTGAATTTCTGATTGGACAGAACTGTCCTGTCTGTCTGTCATTGGCAACATCTGCCACGTCATTGATCAGGACAGTATGCAAATTTGCTTCTAAAGTCGGAATGATAAAATCCACATACACTTGACAAACAGCAGCAGTAAGTTACATTAACCTGCAAAATGTTCTGCAATCTCTCTTGATCTGTTCAGTACCATGCCAAGCACCTCCTCTGGTGAGAATAAGGTTTCCCTGTAACATCAGGACAAGATGTAAGAAGCATACATAATACAGTTGAACACAGTCTTAATCTCTAAAGATGATTTCAATTTTTCTTGCACTTTTGGCTGACTATTCATACAGTTTCATGGGACAGTCTACCACAGATGACAAAACTGGTAAAACCAATAGCAATTTTTTTTTGTGATGAAGAAAACGACTCACTCATCATGCTTGAACAGGACAGTTCCTGAAAAAAAAAAGAGAAAACAACACAATCACATGATGCAAATATCCTTTATTAAATTAGTATCTGGCAAACTCAGTAATCATCTATCATGTTTTAAGTGTGGAAGAATCCATTTTGGAGTATGCATGAACTAGGAATACATACATGTATTATCACCAGAATAATTTTAGAAAAATGATATAAGAAATCTAGGCTGATGTCAGAAACCTCTCTCCTCATCCTTGACCAGTTCATGATGCGGAAACTGCTGTTGGAACCTGGCCACCTGGGGGCTGTCGTACTTCTGACCCAAAACATGATGTATGTACCGGTAGGCCTGCTTTGGATACTTCACAGCCTAAAGGGTAGACAATGAAAATGCATTGTCATTAGGATTGAAATAGCAAGAAATCTACATAATTATTGCATGCTGCAAGAGAGCTTTAGGATCAGCTAATTTTCCTCCTAACCAATGTCATACAGTTTGATGTGTTATAATTACATTGATTAGACTAGTTTTACTTGTCATCCCACAACACATCGTCTTCAAGATATTCTGTAAAATTTATTCATTAGTCTCCACTCCAACAGACAATGAATATAACAAACAAAGAAATACTAGTAAGCATGAATGTAAAATGATAAAAAATTCCACAATTATATTTTGATGGTAGTCTTGAGTGACATGTCTACTAGACCACCGGTATCTTCTGTTGGTACAGGGCATTAGCATAAAAAGAGAGAGTACTTACAACAGTCAATGCATCATTTTCAAACTCTCTTTCTCCATTTCTGATTGAAACCACCACTGGAGTTTTCCTCTTTGACTCCCTGCAAAAAAAGCACAGTGTTTAGCCATGCCACCTCCCATGACAACAGAATAAACCATAAACTTTAAGTAAACTGCCTTTTCAAGGCTCAACAGCCAGTAGACAAGCTCATGGCAAAGTTGATCAAAGTAATCTTATCAATACTAGTTTATATACTGTACTCACTTGTTCAGTGCAATCTCCATAGGAACACCGGGCTGTTATTAGAACAAAAACACAATGAAGAGTAAGAAATACAGCATTGGTAAATAATAGGTTGGTATATCACTGAATAAAAGGACTGTGTAACAGACTGGTAATAGACAATGCTGGAGAAAAATAAATACAACTTTTTAAAAATGAGACCCTAACCCTAAAAAACAGTCATCTCTTTATCAACAATAAGAGAAAGCATATCTTACCTTGACTATTGCAACCTTCATCCATTCACTTCCCAGATCTACAGACATCACTGCAACACCACCTACCAACCACATAAGACAAGACTGGGTATGAATGTCTGAGAATATAGTATAGCGGAGTATATTTCTCTGCAACAATGCAGAAAGCTCCTAGCTTGGAAGGAGGAATGGCTTCTTCCAGATGTAATGCTCAATATAATATTATATGATTAACTTTCTGTATTTCTTTTATTTTCATAGTTTCATACGGTGAGCTCTCCTCAAACACAAATGGATTTTATTAGTACATTGTGAATTTATCAAACAGCAGACAAAGGACATGGTCAGCTCTGCATGTCTCACCTGACTGCACCACAAACAGTGCCAGCAGTAGAACTGCTCCACACAGTCCAACATGGCAGCAGGTTTGCCCTGGTACTCTCCCTGCCATGTCTGCTCAGACTGTAGCAGGAGACACAGGAAATGTGGTTAACTTAATAAGTATGGTGATATCAAAGTCAAACAATGCTACCTGCTACTAGACAAAGGCCTTAGATGCTAACAATTGATTTTATTGTATATATGCATAAGCAACAAGGTATTTTGTTATGAGAAATCTTAATTTTCCTGAACATCGTTTCATTGTTTGTACTATACAAGGGCCCATGCCTATACATGTACACCCTATCACATGTAACGTTACATCAAATGTCTATAGATGCCTCACCTGTGCGAGTATGATGATGCCGGGACATCTGACGTGTACCTGAAGGTGCCCCCCTCCCCCATAAACCTCACAGCTGGTAATATTCATGTCAGTGATAATGTAATGAATTGTCTGTTTCATTTCACTTCTTTTAGATATTCAGCAATGTCTGTCATGGGCAACATCTGCCACGTCATCCTAACTCCTCATGGTACCAGAAAATTAGTGATGCAAACCTGCTTTCCATATTTTACCGGTATCCGCAACCGGCAACCACTACAGCTGGTCAACCCACGGTTTCTTTCAACGGAATTTCTTAACTTGAAACAACGGTTCCCTTACATATCACAGGTGATTAAGAGCTACAGTAGTACTTACCTCAATTCTGCGTCGATCTGAAGGGTTTGATCGTACGCGTAACTCGTGGGTTTGGTTGTTGGGTTTGTGAAAACACTACGTGGTACAATACCGGCACATGCCGTTTTCGTCTTCCAGAAAACGCGGAAGTGATTTGCTGACGAATGTGGCGGGCTCTGATTGGTCAATGGTGAACCCCACGAAGACGCGGCACCTGATGCCGTGGATGATTGATTGACTGGAGACAGCATATGATTGGTCAATACACGGGTCACAGGAGAGAAAAGGGGACGCCTTACTTCAAGCAGATGTTGGGGACCAGGGTTATTCAACCACCGGACTCAGCAGAGAAGCCCAGCAATGAAAAAAACACTGAAGACTGAAATGGCTGAGTATCCAAATAAAGTAATAGCGAGATGTACAATTCCGTAGGGTGTAAAACAACCCTAGTTTGCATGTTGTCATGGCAAGTATTATGCAACATAATGTGTGACTAGTATATATTATAACCCAGTCTCATGGCGCTAATTTTCCTGAACAATGATAGACAGATGATAGGCACATTCATACATGTCATTTATCTTGCGGTTTCCTATGACGGAGGGACTCTTGTCAGCGTCTAACAAGATTCTAATCTAAGGGCAACGAACGACCTAGCAGGAAATGCCGAAGTTGGCTTGAAGAACATGTTATGATCATGATGAGTGACGTTTCTAATATGCACACAATTACCTTACAGGGTCTTCATAGGTCACGGTGCCGCGAATGTGCTGCTGACAAGTTACAAAGTTCCCAAGGCCTGTAATTCAGATTTCCCACACATCATACAGCCAACTCCCAAGCAAACCTGTGTGCCTTCACCGGTCATTACGGTACGCAATGTCCCATTCCGGCCGCAGAGGCAGGAAGGCAGGTGAGCTGAGTCTTACAGGCAGAAAGACACACGTGGGACGGAGTGTCGCCACGGAGAGAGAGAAGAGACGATTGGCCAAGATGAACGAAGTGTGTGCAGATAGGTGCTAATATGCTGTTTCAGTGGGCATGTACTAGTGTGTTGTATCAAACAAATTTTGCGTGGTCAAAATGCGATACACTGAGTTTTCAATGGTTCATTCTTTATTAAGGGGAGCGGAACACCTGTATGGTAGACAGGGCAGGTGGATTGTTGACTATCAAAATTTTCTGGGACATTCGAAGAGTCGGAATAACATGACTTGTCACACTCCTTGGGACTAAACATATCTTAATATGACACTTTTGACATGGACGCAGTGAGAGGTACATTTTTTTCTTTATAATTAACTTAATTCAATCGTGACGGCCTGGGAATCGTGCTACGGATGAGGCGTGGAATTTACCATCAATGGGCCGAATCCGTGAATCGTATTTAACCACAAACAGAATTGTAACGGAATGAGCAAAATAAAAAGAAGTGTCACTTATAAGTTGCACTCCTACTTCCAGGCTTTTCAGGATCTTCGTTCTACACTTCCTGAAAAATACCGGGGTTGTGACACCAAGCTGGACCTGTTGAGAGGCGCTGTCGAGTACATCCGCTACTTACAGAAGGTTAGGCCTGGCTGTAGAACCGGTACCTTCAGCAGTCTCATTGAACTTTTTGTAAAATTAAATTCAATATGCCTTTATGATTATATTCCCACTCTGTCTGTGAGTATGGAAGCTAAAAATGATTTATATGAACTTGATCAACGATTAGTTCACTGTGTACGAAAGGAAGTGCATCCATGCCAGTTAAAATGTACATTGTACGTTGACGGAGCTGAAATGGTTGGCCTCATCACACGAGGGTTGTAGTTAGTGGGATTCAAGTACGGAAATTAACCACGGTGGGAATAAGCGTAGCAACATATTCCACTAAAGACTTTCATACAAAATCGTGAATACCTTTACTTGGTATGTGCACAATTTGATGACTTTTTGCTTCCGTGTTGTTCATTATACAGTGTCTTGCCGACAACTATGAGGGTACTTCAGCGGAGCAAGTGGAATACGTACAGTCTTTCAGTCACATCATCTACATGTGAGCAGTAACTGTCGACAACTTGAGTTTGAAAGCTATGACTCCCCTGTCCCTGCTTTCTGTACACAGCAGTTTTATAGCGGACGGCCGGGCTGTTGGACCACAAGAGCATGTATAGCTCGTTCATTTCAACCAATGTACGCTTGCTTCAAATAAGTCCCCTCTGTCTACATCAATTAAGTAAGGACTACAGAGTTCAATTCGTTGCCAATGAACGTTTGAAAGTGTATTTCCTACCACATGAATCTAAAATATGCACGTCAATAAAGTAGTACTTGTAGATATACGCACCTGTAACACTTTACTTTCTCGTTTATGCACTTTTTGTATAACTTTGTGCGCTTTCTATACAACTTTGTGATATATCATTTTCTTAATAAAGAATGCAAAAGAGGCGGAAAGGGTACGAGTCTATCTTGTCACGTGTACACACCAGGGTGACGACAGCGGGCGTGGTCCCGTTGGTATCATCACGAGGAAATTCTGATCACATGCCTGGATGTCACCCAAAAGGTTAAAAGGACCCCGAATCTGGCGGAAGTATTTAGTACTGACAGCCATTGCGGTTGATATCATCGCACGGTGTGTGGAAGTACTTTGCGCCGATATTTTGGGGACTGAGCTTGAACCTGCTCAAATGAAGATTAGTACGTAGTCGGCTGTTTATATCACGTATTGATATATTGCCATATGTACTGCTTTCCAGCATGAACGAGTATAGACACTTATGTGTAAGGAGTGGATGAGAAGCTAGCACTTTGACTAGTTTCACAGCCGGCGGAAACGAAAAAAGAGGAACTGACAATTTATGTTGTAAACCGTAAAGACCAGACGTATGTAATGTTCAATATGAAGACAGGCACTTTCGTCTTCGTCTTTATTGTTCATTGCCTAGTCCTGCCCGAAAGGACCCAATGTGTGACACAATTGTTTGCCAAGATCCCCGAGAATACTGCTGTTGGAGAACAAGTTATCCGCGTTCAGACGACAACACTGGCGGCCAAGGAGGAAGTTTTGTGTAATATCACTGACGGGAACATTCACGGGCGCTTCCGTGTGGATCACTGTGTGATCGAAGTAGCCCGTCCCTTAGACTTTGCTATAAATGGAAAGTATACTTTGACGGTAAAAGTTGCTGGAGCATTCGAGGTATGTCACGTGGATGTGGACGTCGAGGACGTTGAAGGCTATCCCCCTATTTATAATGACACCTGCGAAATGCCCGTCCGAAGCCATGTAAGCAAAGACAGGAAACAAGGTCATCCTGCTTTCAATGTGGACGTTACAAGTGAGTTCATGGGAAAGACTGGAGGGATTATCCCTCATAGATTTAATACCAAAAATGTCCCGAACGGTCGTCACCCATACTCAAGAACTGTTCAAGGTTACAGCAACGATGACTGTCTCGTTGGGGTTATGATTGCTGCTCACCATCCGAAAGATGTGAGAACCCTGAACGGTTTGTGGATCACAAATAATGGATGCCTTAGATGTTTTCACTCACAGGACCCCGGATATGTCCTGGACTTTGTACTTCTTAACAATGGTGAATATCATTGTCCCCTTTCAAAGGACCTGGATTTTAATCATATGTCTCATTTCTGGAGAAAACACAAGTACATTTTGTTTGGATCTTTTATATTCCAGTCTTCTAAAACACAGCATTTCTTTTGCGAACTGCCACAAGATGGGCTTTCTTTGCTGATCAGTCGAGATGGCAATGACTTTGATGAAATCCTCGCAACTCACGCAGAATTAGAGTTCCAGCCTGTCGGGTGTCCGCCGAATAAATACGGTCCGACCTGTGACCAGAACTGCACCTGTGAGAACGGTGCCCGTTGTCATGGTTTGAGCGGGGCCTGTAAGTGCCAACCTGGGTGGCAAGGTGTCGTCTGCGACATACCTCACAGCACCGTGGTCATCACTGTGACCCCTAGCGACTCCCCACACATTTATATCAATGGTTCGTTGGTATTACATTGCAGATATTTTCATATGGAGATCAAGAAGATGATATGGATATTTCCCAACGGAACAAAAAGATGGCTACAGAAGACTCAAGAAGATCAAGTAAAAATAGAAAGTATACAGTCTGAGCACAACGGTACCTACAGATGCACCGTTATTACGGAAGATGGAGTGCTCGTTAACGCAAGTTATGAACTTCGGGCAGTCGCTTGTCCTCCCGGCAAAATGGGTGAATTTTGTGAAGACGTGTGTAACTGTCTACATGGTGCCAGCTGTGACCGGTGGTCTGGTTGTGTCTGTCCCTCTGGATGGACAGGAACATTTTGTCAGACGCCATGCCCCGTCGGAACGTACGGACAGGATTGCAGCAGTGAGTGCCATTGTCAGAATGCCGTCTGCGATCCTACCGATGGTCGGTGTAACTGCACCGAGGGATGGTACGGTAGGGATTGCTTAAACCCATGTTCTAATGGTCTGTATGGATGGAGATGTCGGTATATCTGTGGTTGTAAGAACAACGCCACCTGTCACCACGTGGATGGAAGCTGCAAATGCATGTCGCCCTGGGCTGGACAGTGGTGTGACGTCGTCCAAACGGGCATATCTCCTTTGCTTCACATTCTTATATCACTTTTCATATCAACTCTGCTTATCTCTGTGGTATTGTTGGCGCTTCACAAGTGGAAGAGAGCTACTCGAATCGGACAAGATGAGGGTGTAGAGGAGACACAGGCTCTGCTTGAACTGAGAGGTAAAGAAGAAGACCTGGCACAGAGTTTGCAGCCGGGCTGGCTCAACCGATGGGAAAGGAGCGCCGACGATCTGACCCTTGATGAACTGATCGGGCTAGGCACGTTCGCACATGTCAGGAAAGGGTACCTTCGCATTGATGGCGTGGACACCATTGTAGCGGTCAAGTCCGTGAGAGGAGAAGACAGATTGTGTTATCGAGCCTTTTGTCGCGAAGCCGCCATACTGATAGCAGTACACGAACAAGGCAGAGCTGGAACCGGTGCTTCTAACATCATCAAATTGTTGGGGGTCATCACAAAGTCCAGACCGAAGTGTATACTCTTGGAATATGCGGCAAAACACGATCTTTTGGCATTCATAAAGCAGCAAGCTGGACATGATGTCGTCCTTCCCCTGGGCAGCCTTCTGCGCTATGCCGTCCACATATCGCACGCCTTGCAAGAGCTCCGACATCTCCGTATCGCTCACGGTGACGTGGCCGCTCGAAATGTTCTGATCACCGAAGATGACGTCGCCAAACTTTCTGATTTCGGTTTAGCCCATGACGTCTACACTGCTACTACGTACGTGTCATCAGCCAAGAAAGATGAAGACGAACTCTTGCCTCTCAAGTGGATGGCTCTGGAATCCCTGGAATCTCGCGAGTTCACGTGCGAAAGCGACGTGTGGTCGTTCGGTGTGCTACTGTGGGAAATCGTCACCTATGGCGAGGAGCCCATCTACGAGCATAACATGCAGCTGAGCTGCCCTAAGCTAGTAGGGATCTTGAGGCGGGGGATTCGACTGCAGAAGCCGCCCGAATGTCCCAGAAAGCTTTATGGTGTAATGATGGCGTGTTGGTCGGAGGAGCCGTCAACCAGACCTACACCAGAGGAACTGGAGCACAGACTAACAGAATGTCGCCATGACATAGACCCTTTATTTGTAGTTGAGAAGGAGACTACGCTTTAGAAAACGGTGACGAGTACAATGTATTTTCATATGTGTATATATTCCTTTTGAATTTAGGAGACTGTACTGTGCTATTGACCTAACAGAGGTGGCCACGACTAAACATCATTGGATTCTAGGCCATCTAATCGCCCATGACCCTTCTTATGTTGTATGCTGTGGTGGAGACAAAGTTATGCTTATAGAACTTTTGATTGTCATGTATGGCTGACTTACATGTGATGAGATGAATACTTGCTTGTGTTCTACCTTGTATTCTTAGTAACCGTTATGCTTAGTACAATCATTGCCATCATCGATCTTCCTCCTTAACGGTTAGTCATTCATTTATTCTTAAAATGTAACGTTACTAAGTTATTTGATCAAATGTTTTTACCAAAAATCATTTTAGTCCTTTGTAATTGTATTACCTGCACGTGACTTTGACGCGAGCATGACTAAAACGGGGCAATAAGACAATGTAGCGGACTTCCCTTCCAATATCTGGTGGAGATATTCTGTAGCCATTTCCCAGGCTGCTTCAGAGTGGCGTTGCCAAAAATGTGCTGATTACGTCATGATCATAAGGTTCCGTAGGTGTGTGTACAAGAAAGATGGCGCATTGGTTCCATAGGAATCCGATCAAGGCGACTGCTCCTGTATCGTTCGCCCTTGGACCGATCTGTACCAACGCACAGACCCAGAAAATATGCAGGTTCGTAAATGATATCATATGTATGTAACGTTACAGTAAGAAGGATTAAATAGTGAGGGTGGTATGCTGTTTGCTCTACCTGCCCCCCTCCCCCTCCGATTCCGAAGGGGACCATGACATGTCAACCCAAGGGGGTTTAAAATCTTGTAGTTAACCTTCTTGGACAAGTATAAAAATCTTTCGCGTTTAAGAAAATCCGTCCGCCTTCCCATGCACTGTATCAACCTCCGCAAAATATTGTTTAACTAGTTACTAGTGCAGTCGAAAATAACTTGATTACATGCATTTAAATTATGATAAACTGTTGTGACCCTGTTTGTTATAACGTGTGTTACTAGTACTAATTGAATTCCACATTTCTTATTTGCAGTGACTTGCGTATGATCCGTGCACAACTCTTGGAACTCCTGTGTGACCCAAATAAGGATGTGACTGTTGTCAAGACAACATCAGACAACTACTTTGCCTTGTTGCAAGGTATGCCCAGTGTAATTCGATATCAAGTTGTGTTTGATTGTCATTCAAGAATCAGAGTACATTTAGATACCGGTATCTAACAGTAGCAGTTCCATGGCATTAACTGTAACAGTTGTTTTTGGACTGATATGGTTCCTTGTGGGTGGGTCCATTTGTACCCGATTTTCTGTCATTTTTGGCAACCTAACTATCTATCCATGTTCTAACTGAAGATGGAATCTCCCATTTTGTTACTGACAGGGTTCCTACAGGCCCTAGATGACAACAGTGGTGAGAGCAAGTTGAGGCACTCGGTCAAGTTCAAGTGGTCCAGCACAGTTTTGAGCAATGCTGTTGTGTACGTCACATTACTTGTCTTTATTTGTTCCCCTCTTGTCCTAGTATTGAAGTAGGCAACATTATTGCTGTAGTCCAGGACTTGAGAAAACTTTCCAATTAGTGCTTAAGACTATTGATGTAATATAAATTCATTACGTTTGCGGTGGTTTTATTTTCCATATATTCATGATGGAGAGGTTGCTGCAAAAGCTGTGAAGAAAGATCACTGCACAAGTTTCAAGATTTACAGTATGATGTAATCACAGCTTTATTTCAGCCAATGCATGTGCTAAGTCAGTTCCATCAAAGAGACCTCCTTGGTTCAATTGTGAGATTTTTAATGTGTTATATAAATGTACATTTATATAGTAGTATTGACATGTTTACATTAACCATTTTGTGATAACTTTAAAATGTTGTTCACCACTGTGTAGCACTCAAGCTGATGCCCTGTTTGAGTTGGCCTCCATGGCAATGAACATTGGACTGTGGTATACGAAACATGCAGCCAAGATAGCTGCCAGTGATGAGTAAGTATTGATACCTTGATACCTTGATTCCGTCTTCGGGATGAGAGGTAATCCTGTGGTGATCCCGATCTCGACTTCATGCTCTCCCAGTATTTGTCTAGGTTCGTCTTGAACTCATTTACTGACTCTGAGTCAATTACGGCCTGTGGTAGACTGTTCCAATCCCTAATGACCCGGACGCTAAATGACTGTCGTCAAACTCTTCCCTTGGCCAAAGGGACCTCCAGTTTGCAACTGTGCCCTCTTGTTGATCCTTCTGTTCGCTTCTTGAAGAAGGATTCGAGTTGGATTCCCTCCAGCCCTCTTGCTAGTTTGAATACCTGTATCATGTCTCCTCTGCGCCTCCTATACTGTAGGGAGGGAAGACCTAAGGTCTTCAGTCTCTCCTGGTAGGGTAGATCCCTGAGATTCAGAGGGAGTTTGGTATTACAGTGATGCTGATCTGTCTTAGTACCTAAAGTCTCTTACGTTTATTATAATTTATACAGGTTCAAAGTTTTCTGTTCACAAACTGTACATGACCTAAATGGACGCCATATTTTACACAACACACATATAGTGTTCATGACAATATTATGAACATGAAGTATCTTTTGCT